CGTGGTTAGGACAGTCCAGTCGAAAGCCTGGCTGAAGACTTGAATTGACAAATGAACTCTTTCGAGCTCTAGAGAACGGAGCTTGAGCTTGCCGTCCAGCCTTCTTCTCGGCACGCCCGAAGGTGTATCCACGAGGTCCCCGTCACCCGTCGCCTGGTCTTTCACAGACTGTGACTTTTCCTCATGGCCTGCTCGGTCATCTGTGGCAGCTCCCGTTGGCTGGATTACGAGCGGCTCGACTGAGCCATCCGCTTCCATAGCATCTGGCTCGTTCTGGTTGGGGTGCCCTGAGACATTCGAGGCCTCCGTAGTATCCATAACAGAGTGGGCGGTATTGGTTTGTGTCGCTTGCGTCGATGCCATGGGGGCCTTCTCTCTCGATTTCGACGTCGACTTGCGGCGAATGTCATAGATACGACCGACAAGCACGCCCAAAACACCGCCTAATCTTCTCTCGCCAATGGAGCTCTCGCCGGGCCATCTGGCATCCCGATCGATTTGCTGCAAGTCGGGCCCATCCCAGGCTTGGACAAAGTCCTTGAAGACAGCTCTCGGGGATATGCCGACACGAAGCTCTTGTAGACAGTCTTTTGATCTTTCGATCGCTACGGCCATCTCGTCCAGGTAAGCAAGTTCGTCAATGTCGAGAACAGTGAGACTCTTAAGCGGAGGCAGAACACTGAAGGTAGGGAATTCGATATTTGTTTCCGCGTACGGGATCGCGCCCCGCGGCGCCGGATGAGCAGAGTCCGAAGGAATCAAGATGCCGACTGTAGTGAGGTGGCTGCCGGGTGGGACAAGAGGCGGGATCGGGGGAGGCGGACTCGACGATGGCGACGGACTGGAGCCGTCGGTGTTATCATGCCATCTCACCCAAACCTTTTCCAGCTTTGACTCGCCCTCGGAGCTCTGTTCAGGGATGGATGCCAGAGCCATGAAGATCTCGGAGAGAACGCCAGTCGGCATATCCCAGACGAACGACTCCAGGTTGACCATCTTCTCCACAGCTAGAGCGACGAGCGTGCCCAGCATCTTGCCGCTCTCCTTCGAGATCATGTACTCGGCCACCCAATCCTGTGGTCCATTGCCCAGTGAGAACTTCTTTGTGTATTTGGCGTAGTCATTTTTCTGTCTCCGAACGTTGGAACCGTAGGTGGGGATGTAGCTTGGGTTGAGCATCTTACGGGTGCGATGCGCGAAGGAACTGCCGAGGCAGATCGTGGATAGGCCGTACGTAAGGGCATCGACACTCTTCGAGTCGGACGTAGCCATCTGGGTGGCATCGGGCCAGACGATATCGAATCTCGAGTAGATGTGGGGGATCGCGAGATTGTGAAGGTTCGAGTTGGTCAAGGCGAGCGAGGTAAGGTCATTTGTGTGCGTGATCTAAAAAATGTCAAATGTCAGTACTGGGAGAGGGACCGAGGTGTTGATAGCGTGTCAACTTGCCTCCTTAATGATCAAGCGCAAGATGTCCACCGGTAACTCGAGAAGGGTCAGCTTCTTGCCTGACTTGCTGGGCGCGACAGCATCCCATTCTTTGTCCTTGCCCTTCATCAGTTTGCGCATGACGACGGCGGGGTCTACCGAAGCATCGGGGACGCCATCGTAGTCAACAGATGCGGGGTGGCCGGGGACGTCGTTGTGGTAGGGAAGTTCGACCTCGTTCGGATGCGGCTCGGCGGCTTGATGGGTCATTGGATCGCTGGTCTGCAGGGCTGGGGCCATGATCGCGAGGGGCCTCAGCGCATGCTTCGGATTGCGATGGCAGCGGTTGTCGATTGTTATTGTAGGCTGCTACTGCTACAATGGCGTGGCTTCTTTCGGTTGCCAATCGCGTAATATGATGTAAGGTACTGTCGGGGTGAGGAGTGAGTCGTCAGAGGAAGCGATCGTGGGTATCTTGGCTCGGATGCGGAAGGCGCGTTTTGGGCTTGTTCTTTTTTTGTAAACCCGCGGATGGGCCAGAGAACAGGATGGTAGAATGGATTAAAGAAAATACCGGGCTGGAAGAAGATGATTGGGAATGCTTTGTTGAGGGAATCAAAGAAAGGCTGGCGACAGCAGAGGTCTCGCGAGACCAATCATGTCATGTCAGAAATGACGGACATGGGGTGTCATGAAATTTCGTTCGTTGCGGCTCTGTGGTGAGGAGGAAGCGGCGACGGCGACGGCGGTAATTGTGGTAGTGGCGGCGGAGGTCGAGGTGGTGGTGGTGGTGCGTTGGTTGCCGGTGCAGTCGTCAGTCGTCGATCCGGTGGTGGACGTGGGTGGACCAGCTTGGGTTGGCCAAGGTCTTTCCCAATGTGCTCCGCGCTAAGGTGGGTGGTCCGGTCACACGTTCCCCGGATATATCGTGCGTGGTGTACGTAAGGAAGGTACCTTTTTTCAACTGTTGCTCTTTCCTCTGTGGGAAATGGGGTAAAACTTCCGACTAGAAGGGAATTGTTTTCCCAATCTGATTGGTCAAGGGAAACAACAGGCAGGGTTCAGGCAACTTGCCTTTCAAGAGTTCTCCTTCCTGCTTGTTCTGGGTGATGGAAATCGCCAGGAAGCAGATGGATACAAGGAAGAAGGTGTTGCACCTGAGTGAGGGCAGTCAGTTGGATAAGGTAAGGTAAGGTAAGGTAAGGTACGGAGTAGGTACCTCAAAATCAGAGCGACCCGGCGGCGGCAGTACGGATTTAGAAGAAGGCGGAAACCAGGTAGGGGTATATTTGTCGGGTCCCATAAGTATTCGGTCCCGCACCTTCAGTTCCAGATTTAGGGGCGGAACCCCAGGATCATCTTGCAACGTGTGGTTCCTTACGTTGGCGGCAAGGGCATTTCACTTGTTGGACCTGTTCTCTTAGTCAGTCGCAACCTACGGAGTACTGCGTAATAGGCTAACACTCCTTTCTTTGAGACGGCCGATATCTCACACAGACAGGCCTGCCATGCGAATGAGATAGATTAAATGCAAGCTCAAATTCTCCGACGGCGGTGGAGGAAGACACTCATATGAACACATATCCGTATGTAAGTACGGCAAACACCTCCTAGCCCCTTCTCCTGCCGTCGGATCATGAATCCATGTCCTGTCCCCCGTCTTTTTCATGGGGTAATGCATAGAAACAGATGTGTGTACCGTGGCCGATGATCCAAGCATGGAATAGCATTACTCTCAGTTCTTTCAAATGAAGAGACTTAACTTGACCCAGCCCAATTCAGATCAGCTTGTATACTTAAGCTTACCGTTAATTTGCCTTCAAGCTATGCTATGACGTCTGGATTCCGGGGTTTTAACGGCTTCAGCACGCTGCTACATGCAGCTCCTGCTTGATCCTGGCGGCACTGACAATAAGGATTCAAGCTTTTTTCTGCATAATCTACGTACTCTCTATCTTCAGTTGACACCCAAGGGGCATACAGGTAGTCTGGAATGCTGTTTCCAAGATAGTGCCAAGTACGCAGTCAGGAACTGTGCTATCTTCTTGGTGGCCGGCCGCATTGACGGGGATTCCGCCCATTGCTCTTCGTGCATGGCTCAGAGTGAAACCGAAATCCGGCAACTGTTATCGCCGACGACGTGACTGACCCCCACCACATACCTTACTGAGGTGCTTTGAGCATGGAAGATGGAACACAACGGGCAGCCTACAGAAAGCAAGCATAGCAAGCAACAGCGATGGACCAAATGAAGGAATTGACTTCTTATGTTTTGACAGGATGCGGTCAATATAAGGCAAACCACCACTGCAGTAAGGATCAGAACGGATACTCTGTACGCTTCACCCCGCAACTCGTCTTCGACGGACCCCAACGAGCAGGTCAGCAGGTCCCCTTCGCCTCGCCTCGGCTCAGTGGAAGCTTTGCGTTAGAGAGGTCACGACCCCACGACCCCAGGAAAAAAGAACGCGACGGTGACGTTTCCCGAGCCATGGAGGGGTCATTCCGGCCTCTCGCCGCTCCATTCCTGCTGCACAGAAACAGCCAAAGAAGCGTGTTCCGAAGGGCCGCGTGCTGTGACCGGTCCCTCCGTGTTGCTTGACGGTATTTGTCGTCGTCTTTGACTTGGGCAATCCGTGACCACCTAGAGAGACGGAACCTGCCTGTCTGTCTGCCTGATAGGCAACCCTATGACCCTTTCTCTTGACAACCACAACCAGCCCCATAAACATCCCAACACGTTGGAGTCAACTATCGCGAGGCCACCGTCACCTCTTGCTCTCTATTGTGCCACCTGTTCTGATTCTATAAACACCGAGTGACCACGTTGCATCCACCCTCCGAGAGAGAGAGATACCGTATAAAAGGAAGATAGAGATAATACCGTGTCTCCTCTGGCTTGCTGTTGGTCAAAAAAGAAAAGGTACATTATCTCGACCCTTCCCCCCCTCTCCCCTCCTTCTCCCAACCCCCGCCACAACCCGCGTGTGTTGTCAAATGGTACCTGCCCTTACCTACCTTACCTCACCTATAAGGTAACCTTCCACCTTCCCTGACCTTCCTAAGCAACTGGAAGGGACCCCTCTCTTTCCTGCCCCCTCCCTCAACCCAATTGTTGCTCAACCCAGAAACGCTATTTATTATGCGCTCTTACCGCCTTGACTCTGCCGTCTAACTGCAAATCCAAACGAAACAACAGCATCATCGCCAGATAAAAAGTCGCCGTGAGCGTCGTCTTACGTTTTGAAAAGAAACAGAACATCCTACCCTGGTCACCTTTCCGAAGCAGCTCTCATAAGCTAGAACAAGCCGGAATCCACTCCTCCGAAGCTCCCTATCCACTAGCGAAATACTCCACAGAGAAACATCACACCCAACTACTACTCCGTACAAACACTGCAAACAATACAGCGGCTAGTATTCACTTTGTCAAGCCGCGCACCACCTCCGCGAAATCGAACACAACGATCGAACGATACGAGAACTACATTTGATCGGCCGACGGCGAACCTGTGCATCCGCAAACGCCATACATTAACAAAGACACCGAAGCCCCTCCTCCCATATCGATCATGGCGGCTTTCGTCACCAACCTCTGGGAGTCAATCTTCACCCCAGGTCCAACACCGACTCTCCTTCGCGCAACCAACGCAACCTTTGCCGCCCTCCAGCTCCTCCTCGGCGTCCTCCTCCTCGCCACCTGGAGCATCCACTTCGTCATCCTCTCCTTCCTCAGCGCGGGCCTCTGGTACGCTATTAACTGGTTCGTCGTCGAGCTGGCCGAACACGCAGAGAAAGAGGCCAAGAAGGCGCGTGGTACCGATACATCCGTTGGCGGAGCAGTAGGAGGCGGCGCGGCAGGGGCCAATACTCAAGGAACGGATGATAGCGACACGGAAGTTGAGGGCGGCGCAGTTGTCGGCGGCGTAAGGGGTGGCGCTCGCGGGAGAAAGGGCGTCGTGGGCGGTAGCAGCCAGGTCGAGACAGCCGCGGAGCAGCAGGAAGCGGCCGACTTGAAGCGTCGCACCGCCGTTTCCGCCACTGCCGAGTCCGGAGCTGAAGATGCCACTAACGGGGGCACGCAGTCGAGTGTGAGCACCGAGGATGAGTGGGAAAAGGTTTCCGAGAACGAGAACGAGAAGGACAAGTGAATGAGTGTCGGGGCGCGACGACGACGTACGGAACACACATGACGACGAGGGTACGCTTAACCAACACCACTCGTCGAGCGATGCACATCACTCGAATATTTTACCACCATGGAGGAGGAGGAGAACGAGGGGGGAACGGGGAATTGTATGGAGAGACAGATGTTCGGGACGCATCCGCGCGACGAAAGATTTGAGATACCCTTGAGCAAGCGTCGACACATGCACTACCACTGTCCGAACCGGACTTGTACATAGGGCTTTGGCAGCATGCTCCATCGTGGGCAGCTCCGCGTACACATACTTACGAAGACAGCGATTGGCACTACTGGTATTAGCCTCATTCATCCGTGATACTAAGTGTATTCATCGAAGGCCATGCTGAGACATAGATCCCTGACATTTAGGGAAACCCCGCAGCCTCGAGATGTGCCATTTCTTCGAGATCACTTAAATGAAGCCAAAAGCCCTATGCGCTTTATCCCACACATGATCTAATGCAAGAGAGCTTACTCTCTACCCCATTCCGTAACGCCATCCCATATCCCCTGCGCTGCCTTTGCCCCTACAATGATGAAATCCGTGCTGTTTCCTCTTTTCCTACTCGTACATTGGAACTCAGAGATACTTGAGCTTTCGCGTGGCAAACGCGGCCACTACTGCACAAATGGCACCGATGAAGAGGCATACCGCAATGGCGTTGGGACCGTCGGTGTTGTGCTGCTCGTGTTCGGGTGCGTCCGACAGCTCGGGGCTTTTGCCCGGCTCTAGAATAGTGAAGACAATGGTGCTTATGAAGGTTCCGATAAACTGTGGCAGGGTCGTGTAGATGTTGAGTATGCCAAAGTAGATGCCCGACAGCTCGCCCGTAGACGACGTCGTCTGCTGGCCACCCTCGTCCGGCCCGTGTTCCAGATGGAGTGGCTGGTCCTGGCCGAGCGTGGGCAGCTCAATGTTGGAGTCGTTTGAGAGGCGGCGGTAGGCTGCTGGCCCGCTCCCTCCTTCACGGGCACCACTGAGCTTGTTGACCTCTACGCCGAGGAATGTCGTCGGCGCCCACATGGCGATCGTCCAGGACAAGCCGCAGAAGGCTACGAGGAAGGTTGCGAAGCGGAAGCTCTGCGCAAAGGGTGCCAGGAACATGGCCGCGGCGAACATGAGGTGGCCGCATATCCAGGCGGTCATGAGATCGGGCTTGTTCTTGTTGAATCGTTCAAGGAACGGCGCAATGGCTTGGGGCGGTCGAGCCGTAAAGTTGTCATCATCTGGCGATTTAACGACCATGGGCAGCAGCCAGGCACCTATGAAAGTGATGGTCGAGTAGATGACCAGCGCCAAACTACCGATGCGGCCAATGTCGCCAAGGGCATCTTTGGAATCTTTACCCTCTGCTGGAGCGTCGTATCGGAAGTACGTCTCGCCAACCCAGGTGGTGCTGTAGAACAAGAACGGGAACCAGCCGATCCAGGACCAGAACTGGGCCCAGCAGATGGCCTGGATTCGAGGGGGAAGATGGAGCAGCGTCGACCAAATTTGGCGGAAGACCTTGAACCGCCCGGTTGCTTTGCGGGGGTCGTGCCTTGTTGACACCAAAACCCGCTCAGTGACAGCCCAGCAGGTCACTCCGGAAGAGAAGAGCATCAAGAACGTAGCGATGAGCGTGAGCTGCTTGAATTGCGAATCGCCCATTGTCTTTCCAAATATGCCGACCAGGTCGATGGCACCGGCTCCATAGCCCAGCATGTGTCCAATCGCGGACATTCTACTAGCTTTGTGGGGATTAGCGGACGGGGTGCAACCTGGGGTGATGATGCAAGCTTCACTTACACCACGCGGCGCCGGTCTGTTGCTTTTCAATGGGGAGAGTATCGACGATCAAGCTTCTTGCGCAAGACATTACTATACCAGAGTCAGCTTTAGGAATAACGAGAGACTTGCGTGCAGGCCTAATTCAACGCACCTGCATTGATGGCGAAATCCACAAAGTAGATGGCCACCACTGCGAGGATAATGGTAAAGATCCGCGCAGTCTCCTTGTCCGACACGAACATCTCGACAATCTCTTTTGTGAATCCCAAGGTCAGCAGGCTGACTGCGACGATGATTGAACCTATCACGATGAATGGTCGCCGCCTGCCCCATTTGGACTTGGATTCGTCCGCGATAGCTCCCACGATGGGCTGGACTACGAGCCCCGATAATGGCCCTGCGATCCACACCAGCGAGGTGTTGCTCTTTGTGAGGCCAAGATTCAATAGGTATGGTGTACAATCTGTTGTCAGGGTGGATTAGTATGCGAAGACTGGTGATAGGGGACGGACAGCGACGTACAAGTCATCTCAATTCCCCATGTGAAGCTGCATTAAGGTCCTAGTCAGCATGGCAGACCCATTGGCAATCGTCGCTTGCGACATACGTGATACCAAGAGTGTTGAAGGTCAAGAGCACCATTCTCATGGCCTCCGAGCTCCCCCTAATGGAGGGTTGTCCCGCCCAGCTAGACATCCCTGCGGGATCTTGCTCTAATACGGAAGCGTCGTCGTCTTGGGAGTAATCGTGACCGTCGTCGTTCTCGCCTCTTCTGAATGTGTCCGTATGGTGTCGAGGAAAATTGCCAAGACCGAAAAGCTTCGTGTCCCCTTCTCGGTGCGCTTCTGGGGGTTCGCGGATTGCAAAGGGAAAGTGGACGTCGTCATCTAGCTCGTTGCCGCCCTTGTCGTCATCGATGTTGCTGCTGGAAGATCTGGAGGGTGTCCTTATCGGGGTTGATTTCCCGCCCGAGTAATCGTCGTCGTCGTCGCGGTCATACAGCGAAGAGGAAAGGTGAAGGTGTGAGGATGAGGAGTTGTGCGACGAAGTCGTTGAGGCCGACGTATGGGCCATTTGAAGGGGCCGGCGCAGCACTCCGTGCAGCAGGCTGCTTGCGCTGCCAAGGGCAGGGCGGGCGGCTTGCGTATGGGCAGGGGGGTTTTCAAGGTGTGGACCAGGACCGAATTTAAAGTAATCCGGGCGTCGCGGCCGCTGCGGATATCAGGACCGGGTGCGCGTCATGCCCACAATTCCGTGGTTGTGAAAGGAAAATCAACCAACGGGAGTAAACTTTGCTGGCAGATTGGGGATGGATGCAACGGAGGTCCAAGATGTGCAGGCCAGAGGAGTGGTGGTAACGTCGAGCTATGGTGGGCCCAGCACGGAGCAGGCGCATCGAGGGTCCAAGGAACGAAGTACGGAGTACGTACGGGGGAAATGATGAGGTAGGGGGCAAGCTGGGCGACCGGAATGCAACGCGAAATTGGCAGGGCGAATGAATGACTGCTGCGCACCTCACTGTTCAACTTTGGATTGTGCAGAGCCGGGAGCTTGGAATACCTTACCTTAATGTAATGATGAGGTATTGCCTACCTTAAGCAATAAGGGTTCGCTGGGACAAGACAGCCCCAGGATGTGCATAAGAACAGGAGAGGAAGCAAGCATTAGACCAATGGTCAGGGTCCTCAGGGAAGCAAGCTCTCAGCCTGCTTTTCTGTGCTTCCCTCATGTAAATGAGCATGCGTGGCTTGATGGAACATGGAAGGGATAGTAGGCACCTCAGGTAAGGTAAGGATTTGTTGTGCAATCGTTCTGTCTGTAAGTAGAGATAGGGAGTACCTTGTACCTAACACGAGGGAGACCACCAGAAGTGACGGAAACGAGAAGACCTGCGGTATCAAGAGTTTGAATTCAATGGGGCTTGAAACAATGGAAAGTAACTTAGATTGCCCTGCACTCCAATTCGTTCAGTGGGAATTCCTCCCAGGTTCCATTCAAGGTAAGGTACTCCGTATGGTCTGTCAATTCCCAAGCAATTGGCCCAACAAAACGGCTTGGAAGTTGAAGCCACGTCGAAGCTTACACGGGGAGTTTCTCGCGTTAGAAGCTCTGACCATCTAAAGAAGCCAGGTTCAACTTTCAAGACAAGCCCGTACAGAGATGCTCTCTGAGGATATCGAGACTTGGTCATGGCCAGGCATTAGGGAAGGATATTTCTCACCCCGAATCTCTTGACTAGTTCAACCATATATGATGGGCACCATTTATGCCTCTCGTCTGGGGCTTGAAATTCAGCAATTGCACAGTAAAGCAACTTGAACATAGAATGCCCGAACTTGCCAGAATATCTACTCTGTACCTTACTGTCACTCTCGGTTTCTCTTCAATAGCGACACAAGACCAAGCGCCTTTATGGGTACTTTAGGGGTAGATATCACCAAAGCATTCCATAGTCTACTTCAACATAACGTGAGTTGAGGGAATCGATAAATATACTCCGTACATATCCTCCTGCAACTCAGGAACGGCAGGTAAAGATACAATCCCCGAGGTACCCAAGTAGCTTACCTCAGCGAGGGCCCGCTGTGAGAACGGACGCAGGTGCCGCCTGCCCTTCCGGCGTGTGCCGTCACTTGGTCCAAGGACTGCCCCGCGTTCAACGGCGTGCCCCGCCATCCATTCGCGCTCTCTGCGCCAGTCGCAGCTCCGACATAGGCCAACGTGGTGGTGGCCCGCGGTGATGAGTGACGACTGCTGCCGCACACTAAGACGGCGGGGTTCCAATCCACCACACAAAATTTCCGCCCTCTCTCTCTTCCAGTCTTGGCCCGGTCTTTGACTCACCGCAGAATCGAACAAGTGTAGTCACCCCCATACGGACAGCTTCCGCGAGAACCAAGAACAAAGTCGCGCAGGCTTCGACTTTTATCATTACCCGAGCCCCATACCAATTGACTCGAAATCACGCTCGCTTTCCAGGCCTCAACCACTCCTCGGAACACCTCGCACCGACCTCTGTTGTGTGACCCAAAAACCACCCCGCCGCTGTCGCTGCAGAAATTCTCGTCGCCATTGGCTTCACTGCGACCTTGTGCTCCAATCCACACACGCGCCCGACCCGACCGTTTCCACCTAACCTCTTGAAGCGTTTCAACTCTGGGAGCGACTTCTCTCCGCCTATCGTATTCCCGTCTGTCGATCGCGTCATTGCAACATACCTTTGCCTACCATGGATTTGGTCAACCAGTTGGTTTTTACCCCTCCATCACAACCGCCATGGACCATTTCGCAGAGAAGCTAATGACGAAGCAAAGCCTAGAGGGCCGCCTTCTGTTCGCCGTGCCCAAGAGTGAGTCAACCCATAGCCTCTATCTCACAAGGCGCACATGCTGACAATGTCTCCTTTCCACAGAGGGCCGCTTGAACTCCGCTACGCTCAACCTGCTTGAGGGAGCCGATATCCAGTTCCGCCGCGAGAACCGCCTCGACATCGCCCTTGTCAAGAACCTCCCCATCGCCCTCATCTTCCTGCCCGCCGCCGATATCCCCACATTTGTCGGCGAGGGCCGCGTCGACCTTGGTATCACAGGCTGGGACCAGGTCAAGGAGCACGATGCCGGCGTCATCAGCAGCAACAAGGCCCGGAGAGCCTCCGTCGAACTAAACGCCGAGGGCGAGGAGCTCCAAAAGGTCGGAGGCTGCGAGATGGTCATGGAACTCGGCTTCGGCCACTGCAAGCTGCAGACCCAGGTCCCGGAGAAGGGCCCTTACGCGACGACGCAGGACCTGGTTGGCAAGACCATTGGCACCAGCTTCGTCAACCTGGCGGCAGAGCACTTTGCCAAGCTGGAGCTGGGCGTCGATGCCGATGGCAACAGCAACACCTCGCCCAAGAAGCTCCGCACCAAGATTATCGATCTCAGTGGAAGTGTCGAGGCTGCTTGTGCGCTGGGTGTCGCTGATGGCATCGTTGACCTTGTTGGTAAGTAGTCGTCCTAGAATGACTAGCATCCGAACAATCACTAACACCCGCGTCCAGAGTCTGGTGAGACCATGAGAGCCGCCGGCCTCAAGGCCATTGACACCGTCGTCGACTCTCAAGCCTGCCTCATCAAGTCTCGGTCGCCGTCAAACACCGAGCTGATCGAGCTCATCGCCGCCCGTATCCGTGGTGTCATTACCGCTCAGAGATTCGTCCTGTGCCAGTACAACATTGAGAGGTCACGTCTGGTTGAGGCCAAGCAGATTACCCCTGGAAAGCGGGCGCCGACCATCACAACGCTGGACGAGGAGGGCTGGGTCGCCGTCAGCTCAATGGTCGAGAAGAAGAAGATTGCGCTGGTGATGGACGATTTGACCCGCGTTGGCGCTCAGGACATTTTGGTGCTCGATATCCACAACACTCGATAGATTTTGCAGTCTTTTGGAAAGGAAAAGATAGATGAATACCACGAACCATGTAATGCTCCTGCAATAATGTTAGCAGGAACGCAAGAATTATCCAATATGTCACAACTGTAGGAACGGCAAGAGTCCCAAAGAACAAGACGTGACCGAAAGCGAAGATGAAGCGGAAGCTGGGTGAAATGTTCGTCCATCACCGACACAGCTGTGAGCAGTTGTGGCTGAGGTGACAGTCTTTTCGATGGTACGTATAGCATTGAGGCGCCGACATTACTTGCGTCGCTAGCGTTGCATTTCGAGGCTCTGCACTTTTGCTCGGCCTCATCGACCAGCCCCTCCTTCTGTGGATGCAGGGCTGAATCAGATTGAGCAGAGCCACGCACCGGGCACCCCTGATCAACAAAGCTCTAGGGTCTTTGGGGGGCTCGGGTCCTCGGGCCCGCACGAGCGAATTAGATATCGACCGATGCTCTGCGTGAGTTGTGTGTTTCGGGGCCTAATTCTTTTCACTGCAATCCTTTAGCTTGTGTTGAGAGAGAGGTGTGATGTGATGTCTTGCTGATCAGTGATCCCCCAATACGCGCCAAGTGGAGACCTTCCGTCACTCCCGTATCCCGACCGCAGTGCGCGCGAGGTGAGGTACCGCAAGGCGAGGCGCACCACCTGGCAACCGAGACCGAGGCGGTGGTAAATTTAGGCCCAGTACCTACGGATAGTGGTAGCACGGCGGCGGTGCTGCCCGCCCGCGCCGAAGCTACCGATGATCAGGTACCTTACCTCACCTCACCTTACTGACATATTTCTATCTCCGCACGCCGCCGTCTTTGACATTGCTCCCTTTTTCTGTGATTTTAACCTCATCTCTGAAAAGACAGGTCGCCGGCAGATTGCCAGAAAGCCCTATTTCGAGCTTCATAAGTCATTCTCAGCTAGACGTCCATCGTCCACGGACTCTGCAAAGTATTTTAGCCATCGGGGGGGCACAATGTCGTCATCAACAACAGCCACCAAAGCCACTGCCACGCGAGGCGGCAGTGACGCTGGAGCCGTCCAGCAGTCCACCATTTACAAGGTAAGCTCCCTACGAGCTCAATCTCAACGCGGTATCATGAAACCTGGGGTTTGCTCTGAAAGACCCTCTGAGAGGGGTTCCGGACGAGCGGGTTATCTCAGGTGACATAATCGCCGTGTTCTGATGCGCAAGATCGCCCGCTCACATTTGGCCCTAGTTTGTAATGACGCCCATCATCCTCGTCTCCTTCCTGCTCTCCCTGGCCTGGGTAGACCTCACCTACACTATCAGGAGGTCAAGAAACCACGGCCGGCAGGGCTGGATGCCTTCCTGGCTGCACAGCATCCTCTACCGGAGATCACAGTACCGCTACGCAGAAGCCAAGGACTCGAAAACAACGACGCCAACGACGACACCGAGTCCCAAGGACGAAAAGGAGGAGTTTTACTACCACAGTAAACAGAAGAAGCTGCTGCGCGCGGAAGTCGACGACGCATTCCAGCTGAGAGGTCAAGTTCTCGTCGTGATGGCGCTCGTGTTACTCACGGCGTCGCTGGCTTTTGCGTGGGGTGGCTGGAAGATCTCCAGCTGGGTGTGGAGGAGGTTTGGCGAGAGGGCTTTCAATATTTGAAAGATTACGAATGAGATTGTGGATTCTGCGCCGGGCTGAGATTTCTGGCATACAGTCGCAATTCCACGTTTTTCAAAAGTTCTTCCCAGCTTATCAATGCGCACCCGGGGAAATGGCGACACAAGTTGGGATGAACTTTCTGTTCATGCGACTCCTCCAAGGGCTCTGCCAGAGTCGATACCGGGGCCCACTCGACATACCTGGTGCCTGACTCGGCCAGCCCTCGACAGCTCTCAGATCCTGTGGCACCCAAAACGACAAACGGATAGCAATTTCGAGCTCATCTCAATGTTGGTGCGCTATTGAATACAGCCTGGAGACATATGAGTGGCTATGATGGGAAAACTGTATGAGAGTTCGGACAAAACGGCGTAGAGGGCGAAACCTTGGAGGTTTGATTATACCCTGGAGTTGATTTGTAGCTACCTGCAGTTAATGATAGAACCAAAAGTTTTCACGTTTCTCGGGGTGGATCAGATGTGGGAGTCAGCTAATGATTCTTGCATGGATACCATGATGTAGTCTTATGTATTCACCCACATGAACACGTGGGAGGAAGGAAGCGAACATGTTACCAAAATCAACAAATCGTAATTAAGACACCCACTATTGACTGTGATATCCAATTGCTAGAGAATTAGAACTTGCTTTGTTCAAGGGCAGATACTCTTAACAGAAGCCAACCCCAAGATAAAAGAGTAGTTGAAAGAGGTCACGTTAGCATGAATACGAAGCAGGCGCGATCATGCGGTCTAATCTTAGAGATGGGATCGAGCGGGAAGGAACTATAGAGAATGAGATCGCTCCTTCCCTTGGGGGACCTTGACATCAGATCAAATCATCGCGAGCCTTGCCTTATAAGTAGCTACATGTCCCCATTCTTCATTAAGCACCGGACCATATAGTCGAATGGTTCTGAGCTGTAGAGGCCCGGTTAGGCCGTAAAGTCTCCGGTCTATTTCAGGATTTATATTCGATCCTCAATCAGTCCAGCTTGGTTGTTACACTTTTCAACTCTTTATGATTTGAGATATCTGATCTAGTAGTGCTCCCTCCCCAAGGTATTTATGGGCAGTTGAGCGTTTTGAGTCTGACCTCCTATGTACAATCAGAACATACTTTCTTATTCGCACAATCCAACATCTCTAAGAAACACTTCTTTAGTCTCTTAGTTACTAGGAAAAGAAAATCTTGACTTTAGCTCTTTCAAATCTTTGATATCTCAAGTCCTTCAGTCTTTCATACAACAGCTTGTTGCACTGCATCTTCTTGCTTGCCAACTGCCGGGGAAGGGGACTCAAGTGGGGCCGATCGTGGAGTGGGCCCAGCACCCTCAGGGAACGCAGCTTCCCTTGCCGGCTCTGGGAATTTTCTGGAGCTTCCCTCCTACCCCACACACGCGCCGACTTGCTCTTTGCACCTTTCCTTTTCTGGCTTTCAACGCGCCGACTCCAACTCTTTCAAGTTCAACTCACTCAACCGACCTTACAGCTTGCTTTTCCAGACTCATTCGTTCATTCACTGCAAAAACGTCACAGAGACATTCGGCAAATGCGACACATGGAAAAACAGTCATGTCGGATCCGGAGCCTGCACCTCAAAGGCCCGGTATCTTGCACGGCACCAACGCGCCACTGAGCAGTGCCTTCAGAGCAGAGCTATACCAGGCTATCGAGGCCCTTTACGCGGTCGGCGGTGGGCCCGACACGTCCCACGCGATCAAGTCAGAGATAAAAAGCTATCCGACTACGACAGAACAGCACTCCGCCTCCAGTCATGCAATAGATGCTGCATACCGTCGGCTCACTGAGGTTCTGAAGCACTGGGACTCTAGGATTCAGGATCGATCCCTATCACTTCAACATGCTATATACCACTTCCACGCCCCGAAAAATCCCATGGAATTCGAGAGTTGGGTCATGGGGCAAAACATGTCTGCTGCTGACTCCACCCTCATTACTCGTCTCATCGACTTGTGCCCTCGGCTAGGATTCGAGGTTCTTCCAGTGGTTATGAAGTATAAAGGAAAACGTTGCCAGTACCAAGCCTGGATTTCCCTCCAGAGAGACGGAAATGCCGGGTCGCAAACCCCTGAGCAGAATGGCTTTTGGCAGGTCAACCAGCATATCAGCCACTTACCCAGCATTGGGTATTTTGGCAACTATGATGATTTCACGCTTGCCGAAAACATCCATTGCCACGCGGGCAATGTCCTAGATGATAGGAACATTCTCTGGGAAAGGGCTCGTCGGTCAATCTTCTCATGGCAATGGCCCTCTGAAGAGCGGGCCTTTCACGAAGAGCGAACATATCGTGAAACAAACCCTCAGTGGTACCAGCACATTGTCCCAGGCACTAGTGGTGACCTGGGACATTACTTTGCACCAGTGAGTCCAGGGCGACCTGCCGTTACAGTGTTTGTGACTCCATTCTGACTATACACAGGCAATCATTATTACACCTCTCCGAACACAACTAGACTCTGTCAACGTGACCAATCAACCGCAGCTTGCTGGCAACCTCTGGCGCTATCTCTTGCGGCAATGCAAAGAATCTTCAGAGTCGGCTTTCTACTTTGAAGCACTCAAGTCTCTTTGTCAATTTGTTTGGCCTCAATACGGCAATGAGCTGCCAGAGACCCAGATCCTTGGTCTGCGAGTTCGGAGCCGTGAAGATTTTATCGGAAAGATCGACCCTGGTCTCATGGGTGATCTAATCTTGACTTCACTGGCGTTCAATGACCATCCACTTTTCCAAAACCTTGTCGCCAATACCCGATCCAAGCCGATAGTAGACTATGATTGGATATGCCAGAATGCGATCTTTCATGGCTACTCAGCAGCTGATGCTCTTTATGAGTAAGTCATACATTTGCAATCAACAATCAAAGCTAATACCAGCTTAGGCTTCGCCATTTCTTATCCGAGGGCAACAGCTTCTTGCACGTTGCAAGCATAGTCGAAAAGCTGCCTGCATATGCTGAAGCCGACAATTCGAGCCATGATACCCAGGAGTTGGGGATCATGGCCATTAGAATGCTTGAAGCCCCCCTTTCAGCTAGCCATGGCCGGCTCATAGTAAATCTCTTGGAGTTGTTCAAGGACTTTGGCAAGTGGAGGGATACGTAAGCACATTCTCTATTCTATAGTCTGTTCTTACACTAATAATCTGCAGGGTGGACGCAGCTGTGAGCCGACTTGGAGAGACCCAACAGCAGAGCCAGTTCATCCTCGGATTGTTTAACAGACTTTTTGAGGTGGCCAAGAGACACAAGCTCCCTCTTGACGAAGTCACTGAGTTTTACGAGAAGCACGCAGGGATGACAGGAGCATCACGAACGCTATGGAACATCGAGAACTTGGTCAGCAACACCAACAAAGAACAGAGCGCTGAAGCCAAGGCTGCTCGCCAGGCCTGGTGCGTTGCTGAACCGACAGAAGAATTTCTTCACGACCTCTCAAAGCCGGGTCCAACGAACCACGCAATGATCGCTGGACTACTCCGAAACCTTGATCGTCTTGGTATGAATGATCAAGTATCCAATTTCACAAACCACATCGCCCAGCATGTTACCGAGATTCAGCCCATCCATTTGGCACCTCTCTGGCTACCATTTCTTAGGACCCTCCAGGATGTGGTGGACCCCGATAAGCCGGCGTACCAGCGCCTGTTCCAAGCCATCTTTGTGTACTACGAGAGCGCAGTCTTTGAGGATGTCTCGGGTCGGATCGAGCGGGAGCCAAAGTCGATACCCCCAATGGCTGAATGTTGTGGTCACTGCAAGACTCTCAACTCCTTCTTCGAGCAACCATCATGGAAAACGATTCACTTAGTCAAGCCCAGGGCAATCGTGGACCATATCCAAGGACAGCTCAACAAACAGGATAAGCCCATCAAAGCAGCCATCTACGGTAAGAACGAGGCTAGTCTGACGATGCAGCTTACCAAGTTTTCGCTGGTCAACGAAAGAATCCGCACAACCGAGAGATTGAGGAGACAGGAGGCTACCAGAGCTGTTCATCAATTCGACCCAGATGTTCTGCTTTCATTTCTTGGAGACAAGGGTGGGATCATGTGGAAGCTTGGAGATGCGAAGTCTCAGGGGCCTCTCACGAGCACCGCCGCAGGACCCTCAGCTTCTTCTTCGGCTAGTGTGACTGCTGAGGCATCTAGGCCAAGCTCAACGTCCACGCCAAGCGTTCCTCTGGGGCCTTTGGAGACGCCTCGAAGGGGCTACCATGAAGCACCGACCAGAAATGACTTGCCACCGTGCAATAGCGTGGCCCATACTCAGGTAACACCAAAGGTGGAGGATGTGGATATGGCGAACAATGTGAAGCCAGAGTCAGAGCCCACTGCCATTTCAACAACTAGGCAGTCAGGTCACAGGGACATCAGGGAGATGTTTGGCGCGAGCGTCAAAAAAGAGAAATCTACAACTACGCCAAGCAGCAGCAGCCAACATGCTGCACCCGTTCCCAGTGGCACCTCGACAAGAGATCGACTTAAAAACTTGGGGAGGATTAAGCTTGAGTCTACACCCAAGTTCGATGATGAAGCGACGGCCCGGCAACGGGCGAAGCTAGACACAAGACTGACGCCGAGAGAGACGCCTCGGAGCAGCAAACTCGATTCCGGCGTATCGAGAACGCGTGACCCATTGGCACTGTTCGGAGGGAGGAGTTCGAGAAAAGAGCCCGTATCGTCGTTCAGCAGACGGGCCGGTTTGACGGGGACTTCGAAGCCCACGTCTCCGCTCCAGAGCACGTCTGACGAACCTTCCAAAACACCGCGACTAGACGCCGTGATGGGTGGTCCTACGCCCAAGCCTACACCACGTCTGGACGCGTTATCGGGAGGAATTTCTAGGAGCAGTCGACTAGGCCTCGGGGTCAGACCTAGAAGCCCTTCAAGCAGCCCATCACCAGCTACCGGCAGCGACAACCAGCCGGACTACATGACGGCGATCCTAGACGCGGAGCGCTCCAAGAAGCGTCGTA